GGAGAGTGTAAGGAGCCTCCTGGACAACTTCAAGCATACCAATATTTGCATTATGGGGGTGCCAAAAAGGAGAGGAGAAAGAGCAAGAAATTGAAAATGTATTTGAAAAAATAATGGCAGAAACTCTCCTAACTTGGTGCAGAAAATAGACATGTAAGTCCAGGAAGTGCATAGAGTCCCAAACAAAATGAACCCAAAGAGGCCCACACCAAGACACATCATAATTAAAATGCCAAAGGTTAAAGACAGAGAATCTTAAAAGCAGCAAGGGAAAAGCAGTTAGTTACTTATAAGGGAGCTCCCATAAGACTGTAAGCTAATTTCTCAACAGACACTTTCCAGGTCAGAAGGGAGTAGCAAGAAATGTTCAAAGTGATGAAAAACATGGATTGACAACCAAGATTATTCTATTCTACAAAGCTATCATTCAGAATCAAAGGACAGATAAAGAGCTTCCCAGACAAGAAAAAGCTAAAGGAGTTCATCACCACCAGACCAGTATTATACAAAATGTTAAAGGGTCTTCTTTAAGAAAAACAGAAAAAAATAAAGTTCAAAAATATGAACAACAAAATGTCAATAAGTACCTATCTGTCAACAATTAAATCTAAAAAAACAAGCAGAACAGAAACAGACTCATAGATAGAGAACATTTTGATGATTGGCAGAGGGAAGGGGGTTTGAGGGGATCGGTGAGAAAGGTGAAGGATTAAGCAGCACAAATTGGTTGTTACAGAACAGTCATGGGAGGTAAGGTATAGCACAGGGAACAGAGTCAGTAATATTATAGTTGTTTTCTGTGAGGAGTTGTTTTCTGTGAGGAGTCCTCCAGTTGGGTTTTAGTCTCTCCTTACTAGAGTTGAAAATTCCTACTTGTCTTTTAGCATAAAAGATGATTTATTACAAGGCAAAAATATAACTTATCCAAATCCCATTACTTTGCTGGGAAGGTAAAAAGCTGGTATAATCTTTCTGGAAAGCAATTAACTTCACCATGTATTGAGAGCGTAAAATTCTTCAATGACCAACAGTAGGATATTGTTAAACCAATAATCCCATGTTAGGTGCTGTTTGTAAAGAATACTGAATAATATGGGAAAATGAAAAATAGATTAAATAATAAAACCAGAAAATAAAACTATATTCAACACAACCCCAATTTGGTGAAATTATAAACATATACATTGCCATAAAAAAAAGGCTGGGAGGAAATATTATAGGTGATAACTCTTATTAACTTTTCGTGGTGAGATTATAGGTAATCATTCTTTCTTTTTAATAATTTAACTTCTAAATAGTGTCAATGAAATAAAAATATACACAACCACAAAATCTATTTTTAAAAAGTTTCCTTTGATAGGACAGGATTTATCAGGGATTACTAATGTATGCACCCTACTGTGATTTTTCATTGAAGTGAGGAAATTTTCAGCATGGTTTCTTCAAAATTTTTTTGCCCTTTCTCTTTTCTCTCTCCTTACAGGATTCCTACCATGTGTCTGTTAGTATGCTTGTGATATCCCACTTGTCTCTGAGGCTCTGTTCATTTTTATTTCTGTTCGTTTGAGTGGGTAATTTCAATTGACAACTTCAATTTCATGAATTCTTTCTTCTGCCAGTTCAAATCTGCTATTGAGGCCCTGCAGTGAAATTTTCATTTGTTATACTTTTCAACAGCAGAATTTCCCTTTGGTTCTTTTTTATAATTTCTATTTCTTGATATTCACTATTTGATGAGACATCATTCTCATACTTTAATTCTTTAGACATGGTTTTCTTTAACTCTTTGGACATATTTATAATAGCTGACTAATGTCTTTGTCTAGTAAGGTCAAAATCTGGATTTCCTCAGGAATAGTTTCTATTGACTGCCTTTTTTCTTCTGCATGGACCATACTTTCCTATTTGTTGTACATCTTCCAGTTTTTGGGTTTACATCTGGACACTTTAAAGACTTAAAATGTAATAACCCTGAACATCAGATTCTTGCTCCACCCCTCCAACCTGGGTTTTTGTTGGTTTTACTGTGTAACAGCTTCCTGACCAAATTCTGTAAATTTGTATTCTTTGTTGCGTTCTGCCAAATAAGTCCCTGCTCAGTTAGCTTAGTCACCAGCTAATGATTAGACAGAGATTTTCTTAAATACCCAGAACCAGCAAGCCTTTCACCCTTTGCTGATGGGCTCTTGGTGTGTTGGGACATGCCCTCAATACTTCAGCAGTTTACAGCTCTGACTTAGCTTTCAATACTTGTTTAAGCAGAACATCAAGGTCAGCCAGAGATGAGTCCCCTCACGTCTTTCTGGGCATGCTCACAGCCCTACAAAGTACCCTACATATAGATTCCCAGAAATGCACTGAAGCTTTTCAAAGCCCCCTATGAACATCTCAATCCCCAGATTTCCCTTTCAATGTTGTGGGCCAGCCTCTTGTTTGTTCCAACTGGGATTTCTGCCTCAGGCAGCTGTGATATTAAATAATTGCTGCTGATTTAAAAAATTTTTTTACAAATGCCCAGGTGTTAGGACTTTCCTCACTGAGCAAGCTCTGAGTCAGGTCAAATAAAGATAAGCCCTGTAAGTGAACTTTTCCAGGGAACTCAAGTGGCGATAATTTTCTAGGGATATGGCTTTTGGGGAGCTCTCGGTCTGTTTTGCTTCCTCTGGTGGCTGCTAGGCTGCTGGTTTTCTCAGTTACTGTGGTTCTGAGTCTGTAGGTTTTCAAGGCTCAAATAGAATGAGATAGAAATAGGGCACGTTAAGATGCCACAAAGCTTACTGTTCTTACGAAGATGCAGCTATTCCTCTTGAATAAGTGCTCTTCATTGTTGCAAATCTTTGGCCAATTTCCAGAGTTCGGAAAATGTTGATTTTTTTGGACAATTTTTGCCTGTGTTCTCATCACTTTTGTGGAGGAGCAGATATTCAGAGGTCCGTACCCCACCACTCCAGGAGTACTTCTTCCATAATTTCTGACTGTGCTCTTATATAATGATGTATTCAGGACCTGCTGAGGAATATTCGATTCTGGTCCCAGACTGCTGTGCTTTGAGAGTTATCTGCTTTTTTTCCTGCCCTTTTTTCTGCCTTTTTGCTTTGTTAGCCCAAGGGCCTTCCCACAGAAGTCCTTCTCCTTGTTAATATGCTACTTCTAGTATTCTGTGAAGTTAATAATCAAATAGCCACACAGGTCAGCAATAAGTTAGAACAGGATTGCCTGGCCTGCTGCAAAGTGTGTGGACTTTGTGACACTGTGACTGCTCAGAAGTCATTTTGGCTTTTTCTCCCCTAGGTTCTAAAAATGAAGTTTCTAGATATGTGACTTGAGAAGAATCGAGTGGGAGATGTACAAATCATGGGGAATAGTAGCCCTACAGTACTCCTTGCTGAGTCATATGACCTCTACAGCAAAGGACTCGATTCTGGGAAACCTGTTTTAAGATGACTCTGACCAAGTAGGAGTTTCTAGGAAACAGTAACCAGGATGGAGAATGACGGAGCTTTGAAACTATGCCATATAAGGAATAACTGGAAGAGCGGTGATTTTCACTGGGAGAAAAAAATTTGTTAAGAAGGAAAAACTTGCCAGAGTATAGAATAGGGTTGATATGGTAATAAAATTATTCTGTCCCCCTCCACCATAATCATTGCCAAATGATTATGACTAAAAAACAGGCTATAATGGGACAGATTTTGACTCAGTATAACATAAATTTCTAATAACGGGAACAGTCCTATAGTGCAGTTGACTGAGCATTTACCACAGCCTAGACCTGGGAGAAAAAACTAAAGACAGAAATGCTGTTCTAGAGCAGCTCATAAAGTGAAAGGCCTACCTTTGAAGGAATTAAACAAGACTAAAGGACCACCTGGTAAAGATCCTGTAAGGGAGGGAAGACTGAAGAACAAACAGCTAAGGTCTATCCTAAAACTAACATTTTAAGAGTCTGAGATACAGGACGAAGTCCACTAACATCCCTACAGAGCTGCCAGATGACTTAGGGCAAGATAAGATATTCAGTGTGATCTTCTTTAAAAAGAGAAGATAAAAAATGTGGCAATAAATACATATCTATCAACAACTGAACCTAAAAACAAAATAAACGAACAAGCAGAACAGAAACAGACTTATAGATACAGAGAACGTTTTGAAGGTTGCCAGGAGGGAGGGGGTTTGGGGGGTAGGTGAGAGAGGGGGAGGGATTAAGTACAAATTGGTAGTTACAGAGCAGTCACGGGCCTGTAAAGTACAGCACAGGGAGTACAGTCAATAATATTCCAATAACTATGTATGGTGTCAGATGGGTGTGAGATTTATTATAATGACCACTTATTAAGTTATGTAATGTCTAATCACTGGGGTGTACACCTGAAACTAATATAATAATGTATGTTGACTGTAACTGAAAATAAAAAATGATGTATATAAAAAAAACGTATTGTGAGTTTAAAGACTCCAAGGAATACAATCTATTTTTGAACACTTTGTCTTCTACTAAGGTCTCTTTATGGTCATTAAATTATGTATGAAGTTGGACGCAAGTTAACTTCACTTCAGGATTTTACTGACACCTAGTGGTAAATATGGATATCAATATAATCTAAAATGTTAGCCAATAATATACACAATTATTATAAAAATATTCAATATTTATAAAAATTATGTGTACATACTGACAAAAATTTATTGATGTTTTAAAAAAATTTTTAAATTGACTTTTAGAGAGAGAAAGGAAGAGAGAGGAGAGAGAGAGAGAAACATTGATGTGGGAGCTGAACATCAATTGGCTGCCTCCTGCACACCCCCTACCAGGATCAAGCCCGAAACCCAGGCATATCCCTGATGGGGAATCGAACCAGCAACCTTTCAGTGCACAGGACAATACCCAACCAACAGAGCCACACCGGCCAGGGCTATTCATGCTTTAAACTCTATTTTTGAATAAATTGAAAATTGTTTAAATGTTATCTTTAAGATATTTTTATCCTGAAATTTCAAACTTTTAAGTGTCTTGATTGATTTTATTTATAAGCAAACATAATATCATTATTGTACCTTTTAACTCATATATTTCAGTTATGCTATTTTCATGATTTATGAAAAAAAGAAAAATATCATTTAAACTATCAACTTATTACATTTTAATTTGTAAGTTAATGTCACTAAAACACAAAGATAAATATGCCCTAATTCAAAGTAAGAATTATAGACACCAATCCAATACCATTACCAATACCTTTTAACGGTAGTGATATCCTAGTTGTAACATTTTTTTTTTAAAAGACTTCTTTAGTTATATATAGCGATAATGGGGAACTTGTAATTAAGCATAATTCTCATTAGGGTTATAACTTTTAGATATTCTACTATTAAATAAATGAAGTATTTAAGTTTCACTTATTATTAGTTTTATTATTTCAACATATTCGATTTGCCAAGTCCATTAGACAAAAAGACCCATTGCCTAAATTCAACATAACCTGCAGAGCCTGAGGGGCCTGCCGCCATTACCTGGTTGCTTGCAGGGCTGGTGGGCTGTGGGCCATGTCAAGCCTCCCAGGATCCCCGGGATTGCAGCTGTTCCTCCCTCCCTAAGGACCTCTTCAGCTCTATCGGCTCCTCGTCTTCTTTCTCTTTTTCGATTAGCTTCCTTTCTTGGGACGACAGCCTCTCTTCAGGCCTTCCATCATAGGACGGCCTTTGCAGGGAGTCTGGGTTTGGCAGCGGCCTCTGTGCCTGTGATGTACTTTGCTCCTGGAAGTCATGCCCCACTGACGGGTGTCTCACTGCTCCAGGACCGCCGAGCCCGTCCTCGGGGTTCAGGGGCTGATGCTTGGCCGCCTTTTGCTCGTACATTGTCAGTCTCCTGTCAACCACTTCTCGGATCAACACTGAAAAATTGTATGTACAGAGGTCACTGTGGTTTTTGATATTTTAGAAGTCATGATGCTCACTTATGATGCATGTAAAACATTTACCAGGCCTCATTCCGTCCGTATATCACAGCCTTTTATATGAAGTCAGGGCTCTAACCTTCTGAGCCACTTAACGAATGGAATACGAGTTACGGTCAATGCCCGTTTCAACAAGGTGTCATTTACAAAGTAATGACAAAAGGGATTAGTTCTGATTAAATTACAGAAGAACCAAAAATAATATTGAGGGTAAAAATTTGTATGTTGGTTAGTTAATATAATTGATATTCTGAAAAATTAAGAACTAAAACTGTCAAATTAACATCTTTCTTCCATTTATTCTTTCTACTGAAAAATTTGAGAAATGACTTAAAAAATAACTTACTGTCAAGCACTGTCCTTCCCACCATGCTGTGTTCCATGGTTTTGTCAACTTCATTCATTAGCCACGGAAGGAATCCTAGCTCAATATCTACGATAAAAAAGTTAACTTTAATCATTAAGTAATTTCTACGAATCATTACAGATAGGAAGAGTCTGCTTTCCCCCTAATGTTACAACGGCAATATTGTCGGCATTGTTTTTTTAACACAAGATGTTAAATAGACTCACAGAGCACTAGTTTTGCCACATTCTCTATGTTCTGGTCCACTTCCTGTCTATTACAGTAGAAAAAGTACTTTCAAACTATGAGGCCTTCCTTGGAGCCAAAGCCTTCAGAGCTGACTTTACAGGTGGCCTGAGATGGATCAAGGGGAGGGGGGGGGGTTGTGGACCCGGGAGCAGATGTGCAGTCTACATGCAACGCCAGCCTGGGATTGAGCAACCTGTGAAAACAGGCCCCCGCCTGAAGCCTGGCGCCTAACGGCAGCTCATCAGACTCAGAGGACACAGGTCAGAGGGCATCTGAGAAGAGGCCCTCTAGAGACTAGGGGTTTCCATAGTGATAAAGCTGTCCAAACTGAAGTGAAAACCCACTACTGTGTAAGCCTTTTAAAAATATGGTCCATTACAATACACATTTTAATATTCAAAAATAGCTTTTTGAGGTAGGCATCTAATTTCTATTTTTCAGTGCGATGATGACAGTGTGATAGAGTGTTATATTCATTACTATAAATAATTTCAAGCTAGGCATGAATCTATTTACAAGCTTTTAAATGACCTATAAAGGATTTTTTCAGAAATTCACAAGACAAACAAAGGTTGCTGGCTCCTGTGACTAACACAGCAAGATGGTGGCATGGAAACCTGGAGAGCGCTCAGGACCTAGAGTGGGAGTTCTGGTCAGTCTGAGCCTGGCACTTCCCGGGTGAGTGGTCCGGAACAAGGCAATGGGAATCCATGGGAATTAACCTGCCCTAGCCATCCCACAGGGTTACTGGGAGGGTCACAAAGTATCATGTACGAAAAACACTATATAAATTAGAAAGTACAATATAAATGTAAACTAATAATATTTGTGTGTAATCTGACCTCTGAGTATGAATTGAATGTGTAATAAGCGAAAATGCACATTACTAACATCCCCAAATACTGTTAGCCATTTGAGATAGGACCTGCACACACAGCGCTGTGGATTTAAGCACTTTGAGCCTGAGGAAGAAGGGTGGCGGTGAGAAAATGGGTGGCAATGAGAAAATGGCAACACTGATGTCTACTTGGCCAGACTAGCTGAGGAGAGGTGGCTCTGTGGGGACGCTGACGGTCTGGGTCTGTCGAGGCAGAGACCAGGTCTCCCTTTTTTTATGTCCAACACCCAATGCAGTGCCTGGGATGGTGCCAATGCCTCACTCAATAAATAAGTGACCTTAATCACTGCTTCCAAAGGCTTTTGATTAGAAAAGGAAATCGGCTGAGAAAAAGTTAATAACAACAACTTACATATACACAGCGCTCTACAGCCTACAAAAGTTTTGTATATATTATGACACTGAACTCCTAAGTAATCCTCATTTCCCAGTAAGAAAACTGAAGGCCACAAAGCTATTTAATGATGAGGCTGGGTCCCGAGCTCACACTTTTCCACATAAAGTCCATATTTCTTTCTACTGTCCAATGTTGCTTCTGAATCAAGACAAACTAGCATCCTAAGATCAAGATCTTTATAATATACTTATTAGTAACAGTTTTTACTTAAAACAACTGTAAGTGACTTTTCAATTTGCTTCAGATATAGAAAGATTCCATTTCAAAATAAAAGTGGGCAGGAGATAAATCTGAACGGTTAAGACGACGCTTATTGTGACACAGCTAATCTAATAAAAACCTCCACAAACCTCTTTCAACGGGATCAAAAAAGTAGCCCCCCTCCCGGAGGCTGACAAACACGGAGGGGAGCAGGTCGGCCAGGTAGCGCTGCGAGAAGGCCCGGGCGGCGATCTTCTGCTCCGTCTCCTTGTGCTTGTTCAAGACTTCCCACTGCTGCTGCTTCCGCCGCTCCTGCCCAGACAAAGACAGAGTTCACGGTGACCCAGCCGTCCGCCCTCCCCAAGGCCTGAAGCTAGCGAGGAAGGATTTGGACTTCTATTTTTATCAAGAGAATGGCCAGCAAGGTGCCTGTCTATTAAAGGTTCATATTTTCCATCAAGATTTTAATGAATTTCAACAGCTAGTAGGTACTGAACTCAGAGAGGGAGCTTACGGCAAAATTTACCTCCAGATTCATTTTCAAGTAAAACGATTTCAAGACACACATGTTTGACTGTATGGATGATATCAAGGGATTTTAAGAGTTATATGCATTTTTACACAGTAGTATCATAAAGTATTGCTGATGTGAAAATCATAGTTGCTTAAATGTCTTCAGGAAAGAACTTGGGCCAGTGAATTGACTCATTTGCAATGATTTTTTGGAGTCATAAAGTTCCAAAAATTGTAAAACCCCTGTTTGTTGCTGTTGGTTCTTGTAGACTATACAATCTCTATAAAGCTAATGGACTGTCCTCTCCACTCCCATGTACAAGTGAACACATTAATATAGTTTCTATTTGAGTCTATTTTCAAAGTTTAAGCAAGTATAAACCTAGATGATTTATATTCTTCATTTTTTCATAATATATTTTCTAATAGTAAATAAACTAAAAAATAAGTATTCTTTGATAGATTTCACTGATTATTTCAACAAAGCTCATCTTGCCAGTGCTCATTTTATATTTGTAAACAAAAACTTTGCTTTTATACAACCTTTACTGTAAGCCATATGCTCTTTACACAGTTAATTATTCTCTTTGGAGTGAAACTGAACGTCCCTTTGATCAGTTATGGAGTAGAATGTCTCAGCAATGCAGCCTTTCTGGGTAGTAAGTGGGACTCTTGGGGAAATTACTGTAACTGGTTTAGGTGTTCAGGCATTCCTTTATAATTTATTCTTTCAGTGCACAACACAGGGTGACAGTTCTTGCCAGACACACTAAGCCTACTGTTTCCTAACTGGAGGTTCATGGCATATTTTAAAAACTGGATTCCAAAAGTTTCCTTATCAAAGGTTCTAAAAACCTCTAATCTAGGAAATGTTCTATAAGGACCCGAGTGATTCTGGCATATCCCTAAGGGTACAGAGAAGGGTCTGGCCCTGAGAAAAAGCCCAGAGTCCTACTCAGATCCTCTGCTTCTTGCCCCCCACCTATCTCGGATATGTTCCCCTTTCCCTTCCACCTTTTCTGCCACTAACTTTGGGCAAATCGACATTGTCTTTCACTTGGGCGCTTGATAGTTAAAAGTGCCTTTCAGTTGGGACATATGTAATTTAAATTATTTCATTTAAGAATTTTAGGTACATTAATATATGGTGGAATTTAAAAAAACATAATTCAGTTCATGAAGGCTCTATGATCTATAGAACAGGAAAGACCTGAACAACTAATACTATAGGTCTTTTCTAGCATATTTCCAAAGATCTTTCACTCTACAACATGCTATGTGTAATTTTCAACATCATTTGTTACATAGCCAAAAGGCCGTCTAAGAAAGAAAAATGGAAAACCCTACTTTTTCCTCTCGGTGTCGTCTCTCCTGCTCTTCAAGCCTCTGGACTTCGGCGAGCTCGACGTTGCGCAGCTCTTCGTAGGCGTGCTGACTGGCCCGCAGGTTAGCCAGCTCCTCCTCCTCCATCACTTCCAGAAGAGCCTGCTCAATGGTCTTTCCCACCAGAACTTCTAACATCGGCTTAACTTCAAGGTCAAAGTCAAAGAGCTTAAGTGCATAAAACAAAGCAAACTTCAAATTTCAATCATGAACAAAATGCTCAATGAAAAAATATCTAGAAAGGTGGCAGTAACAACATACTCTGTACTGAGGGTCTTCTGTGTGCCAGACACAGTGCTGGTGCTTTATTTATGGTTTTTAATCCCCCAAACAGCCCTGTGAGGCACACAGAATAGCACTCTGTTTACAGGCAAAATGCATTAAGTCAAAGTTATAAAAAGATCTATGCAGTCATCAAAATGAGCCCAGATGCTCAACAATTTTAAGATCAAACAAACTCTAAACCCAAGAGAAATATCCTTGTATTTCTTATTCCCTGCCTTTTCTACTCGGTTTTTACTGGTTGGTTTTGATAACAGTTGAAAAACTAAGAAAATGGATATTATATGATTCATCTCTAGGATTTAGAGGCAAATACACTCTTCTGTGTAGCTTACGCAGAAGACTTATTTGATTTCTCAATTTCAGTGACAGTTCTTTCAAGTTCCTTCAAGTCTTAAGCCTTGTTTAAGTCATTTTGCACATAAGCATTGCCTTTAAACATAGGTTATCTTCACAAAAGTTGTGTAATCTATAAGCAACTAATAGAATCTTTTATACCAGAGATATTAGCTTTCTTTATTTGGTACAAATCTACTTGTAGTTATACAATAAGCAAGTATGCAGACACATGAAAGTAAAAAACAACAGCTAATGATTTTTATTTCTGATCAGCAAGGAGGGGAAATCAGAACATGGTATTTCAAAATATTTCTGGGTACTTTAGGATAAAACTACTAGAGATAAATTTGGAAAGAAATCCAGTAAGTAGAATCTTTCTGATTGTGTAGTGGTTTGTACGCCTATTAAGATTTTAACTAAACCTAACTTTACCTATTTATAATGAAGATAGAGGGAAGTCCAAACAATGTACTATACCTCTCCTTCTAGTATTTGGGTATCCACATCTTTGCCAGTTTTGGCAGGAATAAAGAGTGGTGTTGGTGGTCTGTCCAAAAATGCATCTGTTTGGCATTCCATATCAACTTCTATTATGCGGTCAGCAATTTCTTCAAGGTATAATTCTAAGAGAATACCATATACATTGAGTTTGAAATTCTGGTTTATTCAAGCATATACCTGTATCTGAAACTTCAGCTCCTTCAAAATAGAATTAAATGGATCAAAATAAGACTTAGAAAGTGCTCAAGTGAGGGGTTCAATTCACACGTTGTACTAAGCATTTTTATGTATTTGGAAGACCATAGTAGTCAGGCAGGCAGGCTGGAATATTTACTGAATGTTGAGAAAGCATTGAGTGTTATATGTGAAAATGAAACTAAAACCATAGATGTATATAAGATGCAATGTATAATATGGGGTGGAAAGTTAATAACCCACCTATAAAACTGAGTTCTAAGATAGTAAACATATAAAGATTTAAAAATTCTTGGATATTTAAAAAAATTATGCCCCATGTTACTATGCTATGTGATTATAAATAGCCTATAGATTATAAATAGATATATAAAAACAAATTTCACCTTAGGAAACGTTTACATGAGGCAAGGGCTGCGTGGTATCATGCAAAGAACACGAGACCTGGAGTCAGATGTTGAACATAGGGCCAAGCCAATAACATCCTCTTTGGGCCTCAGTTTCTTTATCTGTCTGTACAAGGGATCATAATGATCTGTCACATGGAGTCTTTTAATAATAAAGGAGATACATAGGTAAAGGACCTGGTACAGTCTCTGAGATCTAGGAAATACTCAACAAAAGGTGGCTACCATTGTATCACTTAATATTCTGATGATATAAATAAACATTAAAATGTATCTCTCATAGAATTACAACTATATTGGCTAATCACAGACATACGCATTCTAGACTTAGCCTCAAGGGAGGGGGAAAAGCGTGGACTGCTTCTCTTCCTTTCGCTCTTAATACCCAGAAATAACTCTGATGAATCCACTCACCATCTTGACTGGGTGCAAGGTGCACCTTGAGTGGTTACACGGTCCATGGAGAACACCAAGTAGTGCCTGACTATCAACACTCTGTCAGCAAACAGCTAGACCCTCAGGAACAGGAAAGCCCCTCTAGCTGAGAATAGTTAGACAAGTAGGAAGAGGCTGGCACTAGCCTAGAAGAGCCCGTGTGGCCCTGGGGAGAGCTCGAGTGAAAGGAGACCAGGGGAGAGAACAGAAGAGGCCATGGAGGAGCAGGGCTCGGATCTGAAAGGTTCACTTCTCTCAAAAAGCAAATAAAATGCCCAAACTGGACGACATCGCTCTCTTCTTCTTAAGTCCCAGTGATTCACACTGGGCTATAAAAAAGTTAGAAATAAACTCAGTTGGAAAATAAATATGTAAAAAGGGCTAAGAGAGAATTAATCTGGTCATAAAATTTTTAAAAAAAACCAAGGCCCATCTCACATTGCCATGTGTACCCAACATCATAAGAGTACGGAGTCTATGAGTTTTGTTAATGAACTGACTTCTACTAAGTAACTGGGGAAGTACTAGGATACATAACAGATACGTAAGTAACAGAAAGGCCAAATGAAAAGCGCTGACAGGGAGCTGAGCGAGAAGGCGGCGGCGTGTACCTGTCTGCACGTCCACGTGCTTCCTGCCCTCCACGGGCTCCGGCGTCCGCGGCCTGAGCTGCTCCTGGGTCCGTTTCCTGGCGGCGCCCCTCTTCTTCGCCAGCTGCTGCCTCTGCACTCGCTCGTCGCTGGCCTGCCCGTGCTGAGAGGGGCAGGAAAGGCACCTAAAGCTTAGGAACGGTTTTCAAAGCACACAGCGCTGCGCTGCGCGAAAGCGCCTGTCACCCACGGCTCCCTGCTGGGCGGGGCCGGGTTCAAGTTCCATTTGCACTGCGTTCTGTGTGCCAGATAATTATAAAGGTGTCTGATGAAGCATAAAGGTAACTTGAAAGTACAACTGTTAAGTGGAATAAATGGTGCAGGATCTCATCTAATAAATCGTTTTTCCTCATTCAAGTATTTTTACCACGACTTCCCCTCGTGTGTAGTAACCTAGTACACTGACATAGCATCCAGGTATAATAAACTTCAATATACAGTTAAGAGATTGAAAAGCACTAAGATTATCTTTATTTTTCACTTACAGTTGACATTCAATATTATTTTTATATTGGTTTCAGGTGTGCATCATAGTGGTTAGACATTCATATAATTTATAAAGTGGTCCCCTGAGAACTCTCGTACCCACCTGGCACCGTATACAGTTATTACAGTATTATTGGCTCTTTCCCTCAGTCCAAACAAAGCCTGTCCAAATACACAAAGCAATAGCTAAGGGATCAAAGCTGTAATTTTTCACCGTAGCTCTGCACTATTTGGAGGGCCTTGACTGTGTATCTTATCTCGTTTTGAAATCATTCCCTAGTTAATCTGTCTTATCCCAAGGGAAATATGAAAACAGTGGGAAAATACAAACGTACTTTGCATGAAAAAACTTTTAATATTTAAAGTTAGAATTCTAAGAACATTTTACCTGAAACATTTTTATATGCATTGATTCGTGTTTGTGTATATAGTTCTATGTGATTTTATCCCAAATACGGATTTGAGGCCTGTTTCATTACCACAAAGGAGCTCCCTGGATATTCCTTTCTATTTTTCCCAAGTCCCATCTTCATCTCTGCTCACTAACATTAGTGAACAGCCACTAATCTATTCTCCATCTCCACAGTTTTGTCTTGAGAATCTTACATACAAGGAATCATACAATATGTCATGCTTTAAGACTGGCTTTTTCTCACTAAGCAAAACGCCCTTGAGATCCATGCAGATTGTTATATGTCTCAATAGTTTAGTCCTTTTGATACTGAGTAGCACTTGAGTGCGTGGACCTACCAGGTTTGCTTAACCATTTACCTCTTGAAAGATACTAGAATGTGTTTTCAGTTTTTGGCTATTATGAATAAAGCTGCTATGAACATTCACTCATGTTCAGGTTTATATGTGAATATAAGGTCCCATTTCTCTGGGATAAATGTCTAAGAGTGCAACTGTAGAGTCAAATGGTAAGTGCTTGTTAGTTTTCACAAGTAGCTACTGAACAAATTCTAGGGTAAATGTGCCATTTTACATTCCTATCAGCATGGGCGGGAGTTCCAGCTGCTCCACATCCTCACCAACACTTGTTATTATCCCTATTTAAAAATTTCTAGCTTTGCCCGGCCGGGCGTGGCTCAGCGGTTGAGCATCGACCTAGGATCTAGGAGGTCGGGGTTTGATTCCCGGTCAGGGCACAGGCCCGGATTGTCGGCTGCAGCCGATCAATGACTCTCTCATCATTGATGTTTCTACCTCTCTCTCTTCCTCTCCCTTCCTCTCTCTGAAATCAATGAAGATACCTTTTAAAAAAATAAAAATGAAAATAAATAAATAAATAAATAAATAAATAAATAAATAAATAAATAAATAAATAAATAAAAATTTCTAGCTTTTCTAACAGGTGTATATTAAGGTGCAACAGTGTGGTTTTTATTTGCATTTCCCTAAGGACTAATAATGTTGATATTTTTAACGTCCTTATTTGTCATCCAAATTTCTTCTTTGATAAAATATCTGCTGAAGTCTTTTGACCATTTTCTAATTGGATTAGTTGTTTGTTGTTTTACTTTTGAGTTTTGAGAGTTCTTTATATACTCCAAACATAAGACTTTGTTGGATATGTGGTTTGCAAATATTTTCTTCTTGCTTGTAGCTTTTTGTCCTCTTATAAGGATTTTTACATTACAAAGTTTTTAATTTTGATAAAGTACAATTTACCATGTTTTGTTCTCTGGACTGTGCTTTGGGTGTCATATCTAAGAACTCTCTGCTTAGCCCTGGATTCTGAAGGTTTTTTCCTAAAAGTTTGTAGTTTTACATTCAAATCCATGAGCCATTTGAATTAATTTTTGTTTATAGTGTAAGGCTTAGGTTCGGGGTTCACTTAATTTTATTTTTTGTCTATGGATGTCCAATTGCTCCAACACCATTTGCTGAAAAGGCTACTTTCCCTCCATTGAACTGCTTTTGCCCCTTTGTCAAAAATTAGTTGAGTGCATTGGTGCTGGTATATTTCTGAGTTCTCTATTCTGTTCCAATGGTCCATGTATCTGTTCCTCCACCAATACTGTTTTGATACAATTACTAATATCACATATGGTAAGTTTTAACATAGGGTAGAGTAATTCTTCCCACTTTAATATTAAAAAAAAAAAAAGTTTTAACTATTTTAATTCCTTTGCCTTTCCATATAAATTTAGAATAAACTTGTCAAGATCTACATAAATCTTGCTGGAATTTTGATAGCAACCGTGCTATACTTACAGATCAATTTGGGGAGATTTAACATCTTTACTGTGGTGAGTCTTTCAATCCATGCTTATGGATTGTCCTTCAATTTCTTTAGATTGTCTTTAATTTCTTTCAACAGCATTTTGTGAATTTTATCTTATAGGTTCTGTGCATGCTTTGATTTATACCTAGGTATTCCAGGTTTTTGAAGTGACTGTAAATGGTACTATGTTTTAAATTTTGTTTTCTGCACGTTCCTTTCTAGTATATAGAAATATGACTGTGGTTGTGTGTTGACCTTGTATCCTGTGATGTTGCCCAACCCAGTTATTAGTTCTAGGTATTTCTGTAGATTCAATGGGATTTTCTAGGAAGACAATCATGTAATCTGCAACTAGCGACAGCTTTACTTCTCCCTTTCTGATCTGGATCTAGTACTGGCTGGAACTTCCAGTACCACGCTGACTAAGCATGGTGAGAGTGGGCGTCCCTGCCTTGCTCCCTGTCTAGGGGAAGCATGCATTTGTCACCATCAGTTATGAGATCAGCTGTATGTAGTCTGTGGATGCTCTTCATCAAGTTGAGGAAATTCCCCTCAGTTTTTAATTTGCTGTGTGTATCATGAATGAGTATTGAATTCTGTTAAATACTTTTTCTTCATCAACGAATATGACCATGAGATTTTTCTTTTTAACCTATAGATATGGTGGGTGACACTGATTTGCAAATGCCGGGATACTTTTGCATTCCTGGAACAAATCCTGCTTGGTCATGGTATATAGCTCCTTTTATATATTGCTGCATTCTATTTGGTAATATTTTGTTGAGGATTTTTGTATGTACACTCCCATGAGAGCTACTGGCCTGTAGTTTTGTTATCAGTATCTTTGATTTGGTCATCAGGGCAATGCTGGCCTCATAAAATCTCTTCCAGAAGAGATTGCTCAGAATTGACACAAATTCTTTTTTACCTGTTTGGTATAATTCTCCAGTGAAACCATCTGGGCCTGGAGATTTCTTTTAGGGAAACTTTTAAATTAGAAACTCAATTTCCTTAATAGTTATAGGACTATTCATTTTTCTAGTGATCCATTTTTAATTTATTTTATAATTGTTTTTGTCTGCAGCAGATTAGAAATGAAAGGAAATCAACAAATAAACTGGCCCTTCACCACACATAGGGAAAAACTCTATTCAAATTCTACTTACCGACAGCTCTTTATGTAGAGAGTAAGTGTTGCCCCGGATCACCCTTCTGTCGTACATGATGTTTCCGTACGGCATAGGCTCTTCAGCTCTGTAAAAGAGCAAATTCTAAATAACTGCTGGTAACTATGAAATCAACTCATTTTTAATAAGACTTAGAGGAAGACAAAAATATTTTAAGGAAATAGATTTTTGTTTTAGCAGAGTCCAAAAAATAAGGAGACAAGTGACAACCACTTACGGAATGCTGATTACATGCCATGCCCTCCACATGTGTTATTTTATTTATTGCTCACAATAAGCTTCAAGTTGGGAAATATAATTTTCATTTGAAAAAAAGAGGAAGTAAACTCAGGAAGGAAACTGCTAGTCAGTGGCAGAGATGGATTTGGGCTGTAAAACATTAGACTACTTACCATTAAAAACTGAAAAGGGGCCCACCCTAAAGAACTGACAGAAGTTTGATTAAAGGAGTGAAAAGTTACATTAATAGGCTTAATAAAACAAGTTAAAATTCTCATTGTTCTTGAACTTTAAAGATCTTTTAAAATTATATTGTTTTTAAAAAAAATAAAAAAATATGCCTTTATTGATTTCAGAGAGAGGAAGGGAGAGGGAGAGAGAGAGAAACATCAATGATGAGAGAGTCATTGATCGGCTGCCTCATGCACGCCCCCCACTGGGGACCAAGCCTGCAACCTGGGCATGTGCCCTGACCAGGAATCAAACCAAGCTCTCCTGGATCCTAGGTCAATGCTCAACCGCTGAGTCATGCCAGCTGGGAAAATTATATTGTTTTTAATATTAATAAAATTTTAATTTGAGAGTATAATGATCAATAGTGAACAATACAGTTGATATTTTCATTCAAAGTTCTTTAAATGATATTCTACTTATGGTTATGAAATCAAATATCAATCTATACCAGTAACAGTCTCCACCAGAAGTGATTCTGAGAGGGTAGTAAGTTGCTTATTTGTCATATACAGAAACCCTCTTGGATAAGCCGCCTTCCTGTTCCTTAAGGCCCAGCCATGCTGCGCTGCTCCTCGTTCGTACTTGACCTCTGGTGGGTTCAGCTCAGCTGCGGCTCCCTCACTGACGCCCTCCCCCCTGAGCCTCTGTGATGAACCCTATCGCTGATTGTTTCTCTGCGCCTTCTCCAGCTCCTCCTGTACTGGAGGATTTCCTCAGGGCTCAGCCTTCTCTTGTCCTTAGTTAACTTCATCCATTCTCAAGGCTTTACTTAAGATCGTGTACCTAAAACTCCCCATTTCATGTTTAGCTCAGAACCCTCCTCTGAGCTCCAGGCACGAAGAGCTAACTGATAGGGCAATGACCCCTGACGATAATGTCTCAAAGGCAACTTGAACCAGTTATCACTCTCCTACTCCAACTTGTCACTCCTTTAGTGTTCCCTATCTCATCTGGCTTAACCTGGAAGCCTGGGACACATCACAGTTCTTTCCCATTCCCTACTCCCTACATCCAGCAAGTCCGATTAATTCTAACCCCCGATATTTCTCACATCTGCCCATTGCTCACTGCCCCCACTGTCTTTTACCTGGACTATTGCTAGAGGCTCTTAACTGTCTGGAACAAAATTTCTCCCTCAATCTGTTCTATATATTATAGCCAGTCAGCTGTTAGGATGGAAAAATCCAAACATAACTCTTATTTAATTAAAGCCTCCCAGTACTAATTAATGTAATAACAAGGAAAGACTTTGGTTTAGTTTTTATGCTATCAAAAGCCAAAAAGAAAAACACACACCCATAACATCTTTTGCTGGTGGGAATTGGGAAAAGGGATATGCTTAAACATTCCTGGAGAAAAGGTATATTGTTCCATCTGTTCATATTAGTAATATACATGACCTAACAACCCCACCCTGGAAATCTGGCTCATAAAAATAAAGAGGACAGTACATAAAGTTGTTTATTGAAACCCCCTTCTTTATTGAAACTGATGAGAGTGGAGAAAAGTACAGAAGCATTCATGCAAGACCATTAGCATGATTCACCTTGAGGGCAGGAGAAGAAGAGCAGGTCTGCAAGGGAAGGTGGTATGGCACTAAGAATTGACCCAAGCATGAATGACAGACAATAAAAAACAAAATATGTATATGTATATAAAATTAAATATGTATGTGTAGGTATACATACCATTAGAAAAAAAGAAAGAAATCAGAGCCCTGGCTGGTGTGGCTCAGTTGGAGTGTCGTCCTGTGCATCAAAAGGTCATGGGTTTGATTTCTCTGGTCAGGGCACATTCCCAGGTTGTGGGTTTGATCCCTGGTCGGGGTGCGTTCGGGGGCAACTGGCTGATGTTTCTCTCTCTCATTCTCTCCGCGTCTCTCTAAAATCAATAAAAACATATCCTCCAGTGAGGATTAAAAAAAAGAAAATTAGAGTTGTGAAAAAGGGACAAGGCCAACTGCAGATGAAGATGTGTTACAGTGTGATTCTATTTTGGAACTAAACTTAATGTACATGTGCTTACATATATGTGTGCACCAGCGGGAGGTGTAGACTAGTAGTGTAAGATTGCTGAATCTGCTTACAACAGATTAGTGGGGGTAGAGGTGGGAAGGGGGTAACTAACGTTGCCTTTATTCATCCTTATTTTGTAGTTTTCACTTGTTTCAAAAAGCACATATTACTTTTGTAAATTGAAAATTGCCAATAAGGATAATTTTAAACTGAAAAGTCAAATGCACATACATATACCACACTCCTTCCAACAGCTTGAATCAATGGATGAGTTCAATACAAGCAAGTTCTTGCAACTTATCAACTAACTCTATAAAAAAAACCATTCCTAACGAACCACCAATGATTATTTCATCTGTTGGTCAGATTTAATAGCAATGACTTATAAGCAACCACTTAAAGGCACCAGAAAGTGTTTTTGGAAGGAATACCTTTTGAAATTGAATCCTTCTACGATATAAATAATCCCTCTCTTAAGTTTTAAATTTTCTATTTTTGGCTTTCTTAAAAGTGATACGTATTTATTAAAAATGTCTCCATCAGAATAAAACAATTATGAATTTGGACTCAGCTTTTGAAATAAGCATCAAGAGTTACGTTGCTGAGGCCGGGTCGTTAATTAGCCATTTTTATCGAGTGCTTGCTCTGTCTCAGGCCCGGGCCCAGTTACACAACAGACAGGAAGGTCCCTGCTTCCATGGAACCTTCATTCTTGGTAAGTTCTGCTGATTCCAAAACTTGAGGCGTATGGGAAGAACTTCCAGACAACCATAATGATTATGGTCCTTTCTAAATATGGATATTTGAATATCTGCAAACACTCATTAGTGTAAAAACACAATTTGGGGTCCAGAAGGAAAGGATCGCCTAATTCTTTCTTTGGGGTCACCTAGTTCTTGCCTAAAGACTGGGCCGCCCCGTCCGGGCCTGCGGCTGCTGTGTGTGACACTCCTGTGCCTTTCCTCACTTGCACAACGGAGTCATACACCAGCTTCACCCCTCTGGGCCCAGCAAGAAAAAGTCTGCAGCGGGCTGGGCGGGGCTGGGGGCGGGGCGTCGGCCCCGGCGCTAGAAGGTCATCGTTAGGTTCCGGGTCAGGGCACCCGCCCGGCGGCCGGCTGGACCCCAGCAGGGGGCGGGCAAGAGGCGGCCGAGCCGTGACTCTCATCACTGACGTTTCTCTCCCTCTCCCTTCCTCTCTCAGAAATCAATAAAAACACACTTTTTAAAAGAAAATACGTAACTGCCCCTAGTAAGGTGCTTGACACGTAGCTGGCAACAATAACTATTAGTTGACTCAAACTTTGTGAAATGTCGGCAACGCGCGACCCTGAAAGTTAGCCGAGGGAGGCCCGCTGCGCCTTC